ACAAAAGTTTTATTTGAGAATGGGCTTTTATAACATATTACTATTATATTTAATAAATAAATAAATTTCTTAAAAATAAAAGGTCTGAGTCACAATCAAACATCTTATCAAGAACGCAAGGGTTCTGCCTCCACGAGGCCTCTAGTCGAGAAAATGCTATGGCGCGTCTAGCATTATGTCATCGAAGCGGGTCCTAATATGTGTGTAAGTAATCCGGCAGGATTACAGCTGCAAAAACGTATTGACCAAGGCCATAGACCATAATCCTAATCTCATAAATGCGAAGGTTCCCTAAGTATCCTTATCTAATAAACGAGAACTCTCACTAGCGAACCCAATAGAAGCAGCGCCTCGCTAGCGAGCCAAATAAAAGCAACACTTTCTTTCTCAGCCGACTCCGATGCAAAGACCTAGATGAAAGGACGCAAGTCAAGATTCTTACAAGAACAAGGCGAAACATATTTACCAGTTACACAGAAAAAGAAGAAAAGGCATCCCTTCCCAATGGCGGATGCGGGAAGGATAGGGAAACACGAGAACCACAAAATGGAAGGAACACGCGGCATAATGGTTCAGTGATAGAGCATATGATTGCAAATCGATTATCTTGTGGTTCCCGAGTTCAAACCTCAATTGCACCTTTTGACATTTTGGTTTCAAGTCATCGTCTTCTATTTGGTAATTATTATTTGATGTATTCACCTTAAGCATAAGAAAGGATATGTCAGAAGCAACCTAAAGGGTAACCCCTCAGAGTCTTCTTGCACCGGCTCCTCGAGGGTATTTGAATATGCGATTGGGACTTCAGAACATCCCTGAGTGTACAAAGCTTCTGGTCGCTAGGGGGGATAGAGAAGATCAGCGCTATTCGATATTTTTCGCATGGGATTTCACGTCCTCGACGGCTCAACAACGTGCGAAACTCTCTTGAAACTAGACTTGAATAAAATGAAACATGGTCTATAGCAGAAGATCGGGCTTCATTTCTTTCGAAGAGTGTAACTTCCAAAGGCGTACCAAAACACATCATTTCAGGACACTCCTTCCTTATCAACAGTGTGAAGGTTCTTCAAGGAGTTGGATAAAAACAAATCAAGAGACAGACGTTGGCTGGGCTGCGAAGGCTATGAAAATACATTTAGACTTTACCACTGTCATGGGAATATAATTCATGCCTGATACCAGAAATGAGAATGTTTCCCAGGAAACATTCGAAAAAAAATAACCGACAGAAGGACGTGTAGAATAGATTCTTGTCTAAGCACGGGTTTCGTGAAACATTTACAGCCGAGTCGGAGGCTAAGAGGAGCAAAGCTTTCTTTTTCAGCCGTTGTAAGGACCTGGTTAAAAGAACGCAAATTAAGATTCATTCGTCCTTTTGCCAAGCAACCCGTGTTTACCCCTTAGATTGAAGAAATGATACACTTGGAAAGAAGAGGCATTTTATTCCCTCCGTTTGACCTTGAATGGATAACTACCGAAAGGTTCTGGGAATGCCCCTAAGCACGTTGCACAGGCTTGCTAAGAAATTAACAACTGGGCATGTGAATGTGACAAGTGCGATTTAATTGAACGACTGCTCAAAGTCTCGTCTTTGAGGCCTGAGTACCAAAGTCGAACTTTCGATACACCTAAACGGAAAAGTCAAACAAGTATTATTAAGGACGTTTCACATCTTGGCTGGAAGTATCTCTCACCATAACACCGAACAAGCAATAATAGAGAGTTTGTGCAAAAGCCACAGCGCCACCTGTGGCTCAAACTGACCAATAGGAGGGCTGGATTAGCCACGGTGGAGCCACAGGTTGTGGCTTTTTGCACAAACTCTCTAATACTGCTTTTAGAGCACTGGGTTTTCGATACGTTACAGCCTGTGAGTCCGGGGCCATGAGGGTAGCTGAAACACTTCTATCAACGTCGTGGGTTTCTTCAAGGCTCTGAATAAAATAGAGAAGTTAGATCCACGCGTTGGTAGGACATCGAAAGTGTATTTATCAATAGAGAGTTTGCGCAGAAGCCACAGCGCCACCTCGTGGCTTCGCGACGTTGCGCTGCTGTGGCTTTCCCTGTGGTTGCGCTGTGACTCCTTCCTGACTTGGAAGGAGTGGTTTCCCTTGGCAGAAGCCACAGAACGACTAAAGTGGTGCTTCAAGTGGTGCCACGGCTCTGGCTCCACAGCCACATAGCCAATCATTGCGTAAAATAGCGCAACGTCGTAAAGCCACGAGGTGCGTTGTGGCGTCTGCGCAAACGCTCTAATAGCATATATCTTCCTAACAGCGGACACCTGAACGGCTACAGGAGATATGAATTGATTACTCAAACCTGTCTAAAAAGACACTCTGAGTCGGTGGGCGAGACAAACCCCTTGAAATTAATACATCAATACGGGGTCCTTCGAGAAGTTGGATAAGGCAAATCCCTTGAACTTAATATATCAACATCGTGAGGCTTCGAGGAGATGGATAGAAGACAAATCACGAGATACACCAGGCGAAACCTTATTCACCACACGTCACAAAAATATAATCCTTATCTGATAAACAATAGAAGGCAAATCAGGAGAGACACCAGGCGAAACCTTATTCACCAAACGCCACAAGAATATAATCCTTATCTGATAAACAATAGAAGACAAATCAGGAGACACACCAGGCGAAACCTTATTCACCATACATCACGAAAATAGAATCCTTATCTGATAAACTCGAAGGTTCACTAACGGGTCCAATAGGAGCAACGCTTCGCTAACGAGTCAAATAAAAGCAACGCTTTCTTTCTCAGCCGACTTGGATGTAAGAACATGGATGAAAGAACGCAAATTGAGATTCCTGCGTGCTCTTACAAGACGAAACGTGGTTATCAGTTACATAGAAGAAGAAGAAAATGCCTTTCCCGAGTGCGGATTCGGGAAGGATAGGGAGACGGCAGAACCATGAATGGAGTAGGGCGCAGTAGCTCAGTGGTAGAGCGCACGATTGCAAATCGTGGGGCCCTGAGTTCAACCTCGGCTGCACCCTTTGTGGCTATATGTCATCATTTTTTGGTGATTATTACTTGTTTCTAGTAAGTATGTATTCACCTTAAGCATAAGAAAGAATGTATCACACGCAACATAAAGGCTAACTCCTCAGAGTCTTCTTGCGCGGGCTTGGCGGGGGATGTTGAGGATGTGATTGGGGGTTCGGGATATTCTGAGCGTGCAAAGCTTCGAATCACTAACGAAAGGAAAGAAAAAGACAATCAGCGTTACTCGATGTTTCGCATAGGATTTCACGTACTCGACATCAACAAATTACAAAACTCCCATGAACGACATGGACTATAACCCTCCCCCACAACTCGATCTCTGAGGGAACAGAATATCGTGCGCGTCCGTCGAAGACCATAACTCCAAGGAAACTTTGAACAGTGAACACATCGAGGTTCGAGACACTCCTTCGAAAATGGACGATACATCTGAGAAGAAGAGGCAAGTCAGTATCATTCCGTCGGTTTGGCCACCTCTGAACAGAATCCGAAGGTGTGCTAAAGCGTGGTTTTTACGTTTCATCCATCTATATTCTATAAGTTCAAATGCATCGAAAATGTGTAGATATCACGTCAGCAGCAAAGGTCGTCATTACAATAGTGAATGACGTTCATATGCTTCGGAGTGGTGAAAAGGACCCAAAAAAGAAATATCCAAATGAGGAACATTATCATAATTGAGATATGATAGTATAGTCATACCTCATATGCCATCGTCAAGCTGTTAATTCTTGCGATCAGTGCCGATGCAGATCCAGGAAAGGAAAGGAAGAGAAGTGCGGTGGTACGAGACGATAATCTTGCAAATCTTGTCGTCAAGTCACAGTTTCCACAGGATAAACCCAAAATTGTTTTACACAGTATAGTTTACATTGCCTTACACATTCGTAATACGCTTTACATTCCCTATCAACTATCGCTTAATGAGCACCGATATCACATAGTTCCAAAATTCGACTTACCAATCTCTCCGCCCTCGCCCACATGCTTTCCTCGCCATTACACCACGCCTCCCATTGCCCCTTATCCACACTCTCACCGCCCAGCACGACCAAACTCGGATGCACCTTCCCAATGAACCCCAAAAAGTCCATCATAGTCTCCAAATCCGTCTTCACATCCATAAACCGCCCAATACTCGCATCCCAAATAAACGGCCTCGCACCAACGACCTCCAACTGCCTAAACCCATGCAAGTTCTCCAGAAACTGCAGCGTAACCATCAAATCAAATCCATCGCAATCCATCACAACGCACACCATAAGATGCGTCAGACTCGGGAACGCCTGAGACGTAACATTCGCAAGGAACGGCAGCTCCTGGATCGACACAGCAAGATGCGTCACGCCCGTCAACTTCATGGGTATCCGCCGCGGAAGGTACGTCCCATGCTCTTCCATCGGCCCATCAAACGCCATCAGATGCGTAAAGTCGTCGCTAACGCACGCAGATTGGATCGCGGCCTTATCGCGGAACGTTTGGATCGCGAGGTGTCGTACGTGCGTCAAATGGTGCGTCATCTGCGAGAACGAGCTCTCCTGCAGCCAGAGATGCTGTACCGCGCGGCGATAGACCGACCCGCGCCAGGAAGAGGATGCGAGCGCGGTATAGAACGTCTTGCAGCGCCAGTCCGTGAGCGAGACGGTGTGGTAGAGCCGGTGGACGGTCCATTCGAAGACGGCCTTGGAGACGAGGAGGAGAGCGCAGGCTGTTGTGCGCGATGAGGCAGCAAAGTCGAGGATTTCCTGGATGATCTCGATGGGAAGCTGCTGTGCAAGAGACGTGGGTTCGACTTCGTGCTGCTCGATAAGGAGGCTAATAGAGGCGTTAGGACGAGGCGAATGTTGGTTTATGGAGGACATACTGGGTGTCATTGAAGGTCACCATAGGAGGCTAGGATGTGACAATGAGATAAGAGAGAACCATCGTGGCGCGATACTGGATAGCCTTGGCTGATAACGTGGCACGGAACATGGGTGACTCATCCCCACTGACGCCCGCGCTACCAAACATCGCCAAGCATCCTGTCTCTATATAACTCCGACCTGCCATCCACTCTCATCCTTCGCATTTCATCTACCTTTTTCGATTATCCATAGGAATAATATCATTTGCTCGTTATACTTGCATGGCAATCACTTCTTTCTCATTCAACAATATCGGTGTCTCGCCATAGGGTCTGATAGGATCTTGGTCAACAAGTCTCATTATCTTCCGAATAACCTTGCACGTTCACCTCCGATGTGTACAAGGTTTTCGTCAGGATAAATTTCACGTGGACCTGAACAATCTATTTCTCGACTCTGGAAGTCAATATTTCTAGTCTAATCCGGGCCCTAGTTCATTTTGCGGCCACTTACTGTCTGTCAGAAGGTCTTTTTGAGGCTCTGGTAATATCGCAACTTCGCTGCGTATCCCAATCTTAACAGAATTCAGATACGTGCACGACGAGGAGCTTCTTGGTTCTTCCCTGTACGACGTTCTATATCTTCATACTAAGATTAATTAGAGTTGATGCACCGTCAAAGCTGCAGTCGCCTTCTATTAACTATTACTTCTGATGAGCATGACGAAGCACAGTATTCATCTTGTCTTCGTGGTAATATGGAAA